AACCCCCCACACCCAGTCCTCCCACTATATTTTCCGTTCCTACAGCAACCCCCACCCCTGGTCTGGACGCTTTTATCCAAAGTGACTTACATTTAAGGAACAGCATATAAGCATCAACAGCGCTCAAGAGCAACAGCATTATCATACACAGTCCCGACCCATAGTATACCAGTCTCTGAGCAAGTAGTGTCGGACCAGCAGCAAGCAATCTGGTGGCTAGATGTCACTGGCCCCAGAGAATGTGGTCTTCCTGCTCCACTCATCATTAATTCCATGACAAGCATTTTCACCTTGGCCTCCACTGATCCCCCTGTCCACGCACTTTCAGCCATATGTCCCTCTGCAGTTTCACCTTCTCTATATTCTTTAGGCACAAGCAAACTTTTTGGGCTCTACCTTTAGGTCCGACTAGCACATTGCAACTTGTAGGATATCCCCCCTTGGCCATGCTGGAAGCAGACAGTATCTCCTTTGTCACTATCAATATCTATAACTCCCACTTTAGGCCTAATGGTGGATGCACTTTATGCTGGCAAGTGGTTTAATGTTTTTTGGTGTCTAAATAGTTTGGCATGTACATGCAGGGTTAGGGGGTTACTTTGAAAATGTATTCCAGTACAATTACTAATTACTTGTTTAAAAATGTAATCAGTAACGTAATCCAACTACCACAATATAAAGGTAATGTAACCTGATTACTTTTAAGTACTGTTGCATTACTTTAATATATGTGCATGGCTCAGGGTCTAGATCCCGTGGCCTGCCTCCTTCCCTATGTGCTTTTGTTCGTCCAGCTGATGGAAAGAGGGTTGGTTTTCACTATGTTGAAAACCTACACTGCTGCTATTTCCTCCTGCCATGATCGTTTAGGTGACAGGGTCCGCTCAACCACTGGTGAACCGTTTCCTGGAGGGCATGCGCAGGCACAAGCTTCTTCCATTCTCCTCACTCCTCTGACCGGTCATATTATTTTGCACACAGGGCTACCTGCCGCATTTACAGCACCTGTTTGTTCACTGCAGAGAGAAATCTCTGGGTCTTCCGCTGTCATCACAGCACCTGACTCACTGGCTGTGTGGAGCCATATCACAGGCTTATCCAGCGGAGTAATGTAGTAACGAGTAACGAGGCCCCAGTGCAGGATGTTAGGATGGGCCCTTGGGCTACACCGTTCCGAAGCACACACACTGTCTAGAAAAGAACCCTATATTGTCAAATGTGCCTTATTTCCTCGTTTTGCCATGGTTTAACAACTGTTAAGATAGATTAGATAGATAAGATTAGATGCAGTAAATGCCTCATTTAAAGCTCCTTCAATTGATTTCTTTCCATATTAACACATTAAATTCAACAGTTGTCTTTGTGTGCTTCTCTCTCGAACACACACACTGCTGCAGAAGTCTAAAGTAAAGTACCATCATGTGATGGATTTTAGAGTTGGACTGTGTTACCTTGACTTTTGTATTTGCAAAGGAGCATGGCCAGTGCTGTCATTGTCAAAATCCTGAAATGTCACAAACAGCTGAGTGCAGGTGGTGTCCACAGTGCTGAAAAGACACAGACTAAGTTACACATTATAACTCCAGATTCTTTGAGTATAGGCACAGTCCTCTAAGCGCTGGGCCTCACTGGCCCTCTCGGTGGCAGAAGAAAAAGCTATCTGCCAAATGTCATGTCTCACATACTTATACACAGGGTGAGACCATGGCTGTTGCCCATCCCGCTGGTGGGCGTTGACAAAGCTCTTCAGTGCTGCGCATGCATGTGAGGGATAAACCCAATAGCAATAGCCTCAGAGGGCTGTGCCTATACTCATGGAATCTGGAGTTACAATACATAACTAACGTACCTAAAAAAAAATGTGTAATTTGTAATTCATGTTACCTGTAATTCATTCTTCTGTGGCCGGGGAAGGTTATGAAGATATGGGCAAATCCTTTTAATGCCAAATACACTGATCGCAAATAGTGGCTTTGCTAAGATTTTCTGCATCTTCTACTGCATATAGGAACAACCTGGCTCGACAGTAACTGACAAAAGCGGGAAACCACAAAGTCTGAAAATAATAATAATCCAAAACAATAGAATATACCTTTTATATTTTCCCTAACATGCCTTGTTGTTTATATATAAATACAGAGGAAGAATGGAAGAACAGCACATGCTACTGTGTGATTATAGAGCATGGGAGAACAGTAGATACTTTTAATACAGCCCACACCCCTAATAATACTGTGTAACTACAAGATAACAAGTGGAGAACATTCAAGATATTTTGCTCTTTGCTTGCCTTATTAGTCTTGTGTAATATGTGTAATGTAAATAATTACAATAAATACAACGTTCATCTGTACCCCATTAAACATTTAAGAATAGCTAAGAAATGTTTGATTCACCTTCATTTACACTATATGTGACATTACATCACTGTAATCTGGGGGGGCTGTGTGGTGACCCACAAGTAAGACTAAAAGAGACATTCACCAAGGGACTGTACCTTTACGGGAAAGGTGATGGTTAGAGTAGTTCGGGGTTAGCGGGTTGTAGGGTTTTGTTCTCGTACGCTGTACAGTGTTATATTGAAGTGGAGAGTAAAGCTGACTCGACGCATCTCCGTCTCTTGTCTCCTCACTAATTGCAATCCACAAAATCATCACACTGGACGACCAACATAAATCAAATGAACTGAATGACTTTTTCCTGTGATTCGATTCTCAAAATTTCCTGTTATCTGGAAGTGGACCCATTTAGCATCCAACGACTCTTCAGCAAAGTGCGCACGGGCAAAACATCCAAAAAACACAGGAGATGGTCTTCGACCCGAGGCAAGTTACTGACCGTGAGCCAGTGGTCATAAAAAACCAGGAAGTAACTCAGATGTCCTCATACAAATATTTAGGTCTTCTTTGCTGGAATACACATGTTGACAACCTGTGTAACAAATTGCAGCAGAGGCTTTATTTTTTAAAACGTGTAAGGTTGTATGGTGTGAGCAGTCAGATCATGATGATTTTCTACCATGCAATCTAACAGAGTGTCATCTGATATTGAATTAACAGTTAAGCTGAAAAACAAGCTTGCCAACATGCACAAAACAGCCATGAAAATTATAAGAAGGAGAGACTATGAGCCTATACAAAGCCTGTATGACCAGGCAGTTATGAAACAGGCTAGGTAAATTAAATCAGACCCTCAACATCCCCTCTTCCCTGAATACAAAACCCTGCCATCAGGAAGAAGAATCCAAAGACACTACCAAAATGCAAATCCAATCGCCTAAAATTATCATTTGTGCCAGCCTCCATTAAGCTGCTGAACAATGTCAAATAGGGCTGTGCAATAAATAATGTGAGCACTTCAGCACTTTACTTGTGATCCCGGTGAAACAGGGCAACGTGCAATAAACATACTAGCACCTTAGCACATGCACATTACACAAAATTTAGTGCAATGGAGCAATGTGCAACAACCACACTAGCACTTCAGCACTTACATTTTAATCCATGGAAGTATGTTGTCAACAATGTCTTTTTTCTTCTGTGTTTATATTTCCCTCTTGTGAAGTACAACATGTCAATGCTTCTCAGGTTCTTGTTGATGTGTTTTGTGATGTTTTTTATGAAGCAACATTGCACTGTGCCCAAGCAGAATTTCCCCCTGGGGACAATAAAGTTAACCTAAACTAACCTAACCCATTGTTAATGATGACAAGTAGGCTTTAATACCACTTGATAAAATATTTTTAGATTTCAGCCTGACTTGTTCCACTGCAGTTGCTGCATCCAAAGACATGCAGGCTAGGTTATGGTGACCCTAAATTGTCCTTAGGTGTGAGTGTGAGTGGTTGTTTGTCTATGTGTGGCCCTGCGATGGACTGGCGACCTGTCCAGGGTGTACCCCACCTTTCGCCCGATGCCAGCTTGGAGTGGCTCCAGCCCCCTGCGACACTGTACGCAGGATAAGTTTGATGATGGATAGATGGATGAAAAAAAATCCAAATCATGCTGGTGTACTTCGGAATATGCCCAATTCACAGTAATATCCTGCCACATATTGTGAATTCTTCTGGGGAAAATACAGAGCATGTGCCGTTGCGAAAAAAGTCTGCCTGCACGACCAAACCCTGCCCGTTTTATGTGAATACGCACCAACTCCAATTAAGCTTACACCAACTCAACTAACCAACAGCTTATTCACAGTCGGTCACACCTGTTTGGCGATCAGAGTTTGTCAACCCTGAGTTTGCTTGATAACCCTGAGATAAGTCTGAGTAGGTTAAACTCCCTTCGTAGTACAGGCTACAGGTCCTGTCTGTTCTGTGTCTTGTTGAGGAGTTTGCCTTTGTTGTTCAGTTATCTAGTCTGCTTTATCTGTTCTGTGTTTTGAGTCCAGTTCCTGTTCGATGTCAAAGAGGCAAAGAGAAAGTTTTCAACTCTGCACAAATCAAATCAGCCCAGCCCTGATGCGACACTGGCGTAAGCCGTGACACTAATCAAGTGCACCTCACACTGTGAGTCCAGACAGTTGTGAAGAGTGTTAACGTAACTGGTAGAGTTTTGCAACCTTAGCCTTGCTATATTAAATCACTACTGTGTTAACTGATTTGCCTACTAAGTCCACATTAAATCAATAACTGTTAAAAAGTACTTCAATTAGAATACTGCTGCACTGTTCATGAAAACTATCCAAAGTGTACTTTGTTAGAGACATTGCTTTTTAACATGATCTCTTTCCCAAAGGCATTAACTAATGCTGTTTCACTACAGTCCATGTATCAGCCACATCAAAACAAACACAACCTGATACACCAGAGAGTGATGAAGATGCAGACGCAGAGTGTGACGCATAGAGGGAGAAAGGAGGAAGATTAATGTCCAAGAGAGAGACTGAAAGATAGAAGGGGAGGGGGAAGATGGGATGAAGAGAGATATAAATCAGCTGGATGACAGAACTTTGCTGAGAAAGCTGTGTGTTCAGCAGCTCCTCCTCTCTCTCTGACGATGCAGACCCTGGAGGAAGCTGAACTCTGCTTTCCACAACTCCTCAACACCTCCTGCAAGAAGCACATTCGCCCTCAGGCTGAGGCAATGGTCATTTACATCGTGATGTCCTCCATCTCTCTGCTCACTGCGGCTCTCAACCTGCTGGTCATCATCTCCATCTCCCACTTCAGGCAGAGATAAATGTCTTAGCATTGATTATATATTGTTCTATTGAGATCTGAGCATTACATGCTGATGGTTTGACGAGGCTTTTGATGAGATGAGATGAGACAGTGCTCACAACAGCCACATTTACTATATTGATACATAGTTTCAACTGTCATTACTGCTTTTATAAAAGACTACTTCTATTGGTGATAATGTTGTTAGTGTTTGTAAAATTCACAGTGATGATATTCTCTCCCTTCAGGCAGCTCCACACCCCCACCAACCTCCTCCTCCTCTCTCTGGCTGTCTCAGACTTCCTCGTGGGCCTCTTTGTGATGCCGTTTCAAATCCTCTTCACAGAGCCCTGCTGGCTCCTGGGTGACCTGGTGTGTGTTCTGCATTATTTGATAAATTTCATTACTCTCTGTTCCTCACTGGTAAACATGGTGCTCATATCAGTCGACCGCTATGTGGCTATCTGTGACCCTCTGCACTACCCCACCAAAATCACTGCAAAGAGAGTTCAAATCTTGGTTTTCCTGTGTTGGGGTTACTCTGTTTTCAACAGTGTTATGTTTTTATATGATAACCTGAAACAACCAGGCAAGTATAATTCCTGCTATGGAGAATGTGTGATTAACATAGTAGGTGCTGCTGGCGTTATTTTAAACTTCATCATTCCCATCAGTGCCATCATCATCCTGTATGTGAGAGTGTTTGCAGTGGCTGTGTCTCAGGCTCGTGCCATGCGCTCCCACATCACAGCAGTCACACTGAAGAGTTCAGCGACTGTAACTGTTAAGAAATCTGAGTTGAAAGCAGCCAGGAGTCTTGGTGTTGTTGTTGCTGTGTTTCTCATGTGTTACTGTCCATATTACTGTGTCTCTCTCTCAGGCTACGACCTCGTGATTGGGTCTTCAACTGAGGTACTTATGATTTTTCTGATATTTTTTAACTCCTGTCTAAACCCTTTGATCTACGCCTTTTTGTACCCCTGGTTTAGAAAATCTGTTAAACTCATTGTTACACTTGAGATACTGCAGCCTCACTCCTGTGAGGCCAACATACTGTAGAGAGAGACTGTGGAGTGACTGACACGAGACACATGAGCTTTTCTGTGAAGGAGTAATGTCTTTTTATGTGCTGTTGCTGAGTCACTGAAGTAGAGGACTCAGTATACACAAATACAAAAAAACACATTCTATCTATTAATATTGTGCGCATGTATTGATGTTAGTATCTTCGTTGTATTTTCATCGCAATTCATGAACAGACAGTTATTGATTATGTGATCTTTGCAAGAGAATCTCTTTCTGTCTGCTACAGTAAGTTTTTGAATAATGAATCACAATGATAATCATAATCACCACAATATAAGGAAGCATTAATTTTCCAATATTCCAATATCAATAAAGTCAAAATTTGCTAGAAACTACTTTACGTTTGTTTCATATTTTTGCACAAACACACGTCTTTTGCCTTTTATTGTTGAGATTATCAGTAAACTGGGCTACAGTTTATATCACTCAGGCAAATAGCAGGTAATAATGCACCACAAACATACCTGAGGTCATCTGACAAAGTTGGAAAGTGGTTAATGAAATATCTTGGACAGAGAAAATCAAGATGGTTTCAATCTGGGATTACTCTGCAGAAAGAGTAAAGAGACCAATCATGTTTCCTCCTGAACGTATCTGACAATGCAAATTAAAATATAGGTTAACATATTATGGTGGTGGTAACGTTGCTGAGCAGACAGCACTTTGTGCAGCATGACTTCATCACAGACAAATTCAAATTAATCAAATAGAATTATGAGGATCAAAGTAATATTTTTTATCATTACACGACATAATGTTGTCCTAGAAAACAAAAGTTCTTGTCCCTTCATTTAAAAACACTGAAAATATTATTAATTAAATTTATACTGGAATAGGGTAACATAAAATATATAACACAACTGTACAACAGTCCTTTAGTAATTAAATAAGTAGATAATCTTTATAAAGCACCTTTTAAAAAAAGTTACAAGGTGCTGTGCAATGACAACCTTAAAGAAAAATACAAAATTAAAAACAGGAATAACGGGAGCAACAAAACAATAAAGAAATCCAACACACAAGCAATAAAACCAATAACAGTTCAAATAAAAACTACACAAAAGGCAAAGAATATGCCTTTTGGAACAGCTGGGTTTTTAACAGCTCCTTAAAACTTTCTCCTGACTCTACGTTTTTTTTTTTTTTAATTGGGGAAGACAGTTCCAGAGAGTGGGAGCCACAACTGCAAAAGCTTGGTCTTCTTTGAATTTTATTCAAGTTCAAGTTACAGCCAGAAGACATTGGTCATCCATCCATCCATCCATCCAGCGTCAACCGCTTATCCTGTGTACAGGGTCCCGGGGGACTTTGGTCAGTACATCGCAAATATCTTACACACAATAATTTCAAAATATGCAGTTGTGCAAGACCGTGCAGTGCTTTAATGCAATTAAAATAAATTTAAAATGTATTCTGCAATCTATGGGTAACCAATATAGCTAACCAGCTAGCACCAGTGTATTGTGTGATCAACACTGTGTGTTGACCAACTGAAGCTGAGACACAGAAGAGCAGCTCAGTCAGAGTGGTGAATGGTAGTATGTATTGTAACTCCAGATTATATATAGGTAGTATAGGTGCAGCCCTCTAAGGCTATCGCTATTGGGTTTGCCCCTACGCTTGCATGCATGGCACTGAGAAAAGCTTGGCGGGTCAGGTGTGTAACAAGCCACGTCTTGAGGATTGTGGAGTGATGACCCCAACCCTTGCGGTGGTGTCTCACAGTCAAATCAACACTGTCAGGGCATGGCTACAGCACGGCTATCTGCAACGTGGGGAACGCATTGCGCCGCAGAGGGGGCATTCTGGGAGTATTTACGTATCTGATTGTGAGCCGCTCTCTGGAGAGAGAGAGAGAGAGCGAGAGAGAGACAGAGAGAGAGAGAGAGAGAGAAAGCCTCAAGGGTTGTGGAGTTGCACAGTAGCTTGGCGAAGTGAGATCCTGGTTAATTGTCTGGCCAATCATCGGCCACTCTTCCCTGATCTGGATTTATGACAAAATTTCTGCCTGATCAGTAGTGTTTTCAGTTGGTTTCAATCCCAAACTGTGTCGGTCAAATGGTCTGAGGGGGATAGACTTATTTTTTCTGAATAAAACCATTTATTTATAACTGGTGACTTTAACATACATTATATCTGATTGTGATCTGATCATCCCTAATGGTTTTAATATTTCAAAAGTTGTAACGGACCTTGCTATATTAAATCACTACTGTGTTAACTGATTTGCCTACTAAGTCCACATTAAATCAATAACTGTTAAAAAGTATAGTGTAGCTTGGCGAAGTGAGATCCTGGTTAATTGTCGGGCCAATCATTGGCCACTCTTCCCTGATCTGCAACTGCTATTTTGGCTCTGTTTTATTTCATTATTTTCTCCTATTGAGTTTGGCTCCTTCTGATAGGATTGACTCCTGTTGACCAGCTGATCTCCACTGAGCCACACCTGAGCTGTCAGACTTCCTTCTGTGGGCAGTTTGGTTGTTTAAGCTTTTAATGATGGACTGGTTATAGCTGCCCACAATTGCATAACATGTGGCTCATATATATTTGTATAAATTGGTTTTGTTAAATTTGTATTTGTAGTAATATTCCTTTGGGTTTTGTTATTTTCATTGATTGCTTTGTTTGTTTTGTCTTTATTATGTTATCTATTTATATATATATATGAACCTGTGTAGCACCAATGGCAGGGTTTATTGATCTTCCTCTTCTTTAGTTGTCAGGTGCTGTGGACTGTAGGCAGCAGTCCAAACCCTGGTGGTGGTGTTTCTTCATGATTCCCTTTTTTTCTTGGTGTCTAGTGTCACAGATGGTTAGATAACTGATTCTTCTTTTTTTGGGGGGTTCCCGTGCTGCATGGTAAGCCATAGCCCTGCACAGTGTGCTAATTTTTATATACAGCATTGGTCCGATTATAAGATGACCCCCCTTTTTCAAGACTCGTTACAATAATTTTATTTGTAAATAATTCTAATAAAAACACAATGAATAAAATAAAACAAGTCGGTTGTTGTTTAACGCAAAATAAAATGTACAGCAAATCACATTTGTAAATTAATGACGCGATATTTACAGTAAATATCATAAAAATGAAGAGAGATCATAACTTATCCTCCCCCAAGGGAGACAATGATGCTTATTTCTACTGGGAGAGGTAACTCCAAAGGTAAATTTCCTCAAATGCCTCACACAAGGAAACAAAGCTGCTAAATTAGCCTAGCCTGTACAATTTTAACAATTTGGGCTCATTCCCACCCGGGGGCACAAAAAACCCAAACCCATTACAGTTTTACAGTTTACTTTAACATTCTTTTGTCCAATCTGTAGTCACATTTTCAAAACTCTAAACACAATCAGCACAACATCGGTCTGTTCAGGACCATGCAATTAACACAATTTATATTATTTCCACAGAATATGCAGTCAATTAACCTATTTCTAAAATGCTTTCTTTCTTTAAAGTTTTTATTTACGTGTACAGCTTACTCTATACCAAAACTATGGATGTTTCTGTGTTATTTACAAATGCTTGCACACAGCATGTAAGAAATAAAGACATACTTTTCAAAATCTTAAATAATGTATACAGCCTCTACTTCTGCTACAATAGCAGCTCAAAATCTATTTTGAAACACCTGCAACAATGCAGTTAAATGGGGACTTTCTTTATCCAATATACAGATATACAGGATACAGAACAACACAGAAAAGGAGAGAAAGAAAGAAGAATATTTGGGCCAGGCAGAGGAGGAGCTGAACCAGGGAGAAGGACAGGTAAGTGTTTCTATCTAGGTGCATAGCGAGAAAATTACATTAGATGATGTGATGTGGGTGAGAACATGTGACCAAATGCTGAAGATCATGTGGATTAGAACAAGACTGTACATTTTTGTTTCTTTCCTTTCAGTGCATTTTTTTTTGTTTTACAGTTTTTGCCCGTTGCTTGAACATATTTTGCAGAACTTTGCTCATTGTGCCAAAACTCTACACACAAGTAAACATGACACAACACTGGGAAATATACCATTCACATCTGTGTCAAATTGAAACTCTACTATCAAAACCTAAACTTTGCTATCAAAACCTAACATTCCTTTGTCAAAATGTAACTCTGATGACAAAATGACACATACTTGCATCATATGCATACACTTTCAGATCAGGGGGATCACACTAGTCACACTAGTAAAACACTGCAGTCTTTGATTTTCACTGTTTATTCAGAAGGCATATTTTCAAACAACCAAAAAAGCAAATAGGCCTACTCAATATTGTACATTGCAGTAACATGAATTCAGATAAAGCAAAAAAGTATATATAATAATACAAAAAACACTATACTGTAAACACAGAAAATCATGGCAATTGTGCATACTTGGGCTCATGGATCCCGCTGTTTGTTGGGGTCTGGCCACAGGACCTCATCGACATCGCAAGCAATCTTCTCCCGCTAGGCATAATATATATATATATATAGATAATATCCCCTTGCATGTCGAAACCATCCATGGATTGCTGTCACCTGAATGTCGCCGCAGGCCTGTTCCATTGCCTGCAGAAGAGACATGCGGGCATGTGGTTGGCGGTCATATACACGCCATCTCCAAGCTGAAAAGAATTCCTCTATAGGGTTTAAAAATGGTGAGTAAGGGGGCAAGTATACCAATTCAAATTGATTGTGGTTGGTGAACCAGGCCTGGACCAGAGCAGCCCGATGGAAACTGACATTATCCCATACCACCACAAACATGGGCTGATCTGGTCTGTTCTGTACAACTATATTATGGAGAGCATCTACAAATGTGA